AGGGTTCATGGATTAAGGTTTAGGGTTTAGGGCTTAGGGTTTAGGGGAACAAGCTATGATACTGGCAAGAACGAGCGCTTGCCATTGGAGGTGCTGTACATGTTCTTTTTGTTGTTCAAAGTTGTTTGGTGCCGATTGGCTCATCCATGCCAGAACCAATCAACAAAACCTGCGACGCCTGCCCTGTCTAGGTGTAAGATTGATGTCATGGTTCTAAACGGATTTCCACAGCCGTCTTGGTGTCCCAACAGATATTCATCACATTGTTTTTATACATACGCTTATGCCCACATCCTCCCCTCTCAACATATACTAGAACTACCGATTCCGAAGTAAATGGTGCCTGAAACTTGAAGGGGGATACCATATCAGTTCCTATGTTAGCTATAGTCTAAACTCCTAGCTTTCCCCTTATTAACCCCTATAATACTCCCCTATATTATCCCCTTTAGAACCCCCTTTAAGGAGTTTGGATTATGGTTCATATCAGTTCCTATGTTATGTCAAGGGTTTAGGGTTTAGGGTTTGCCCAGAGCCAGTCCAGCCCAGTTCGGATCAGCTGTGGCACGGGGAGTCGAGAAGTTGCTGACGCCAATGGTGCCTGCTGGAGCTGGTCATACCTGGAACCACAGCTTATGGCTTTTGATGTAGAAGCCTGAATTACCAGAATCACTTTGAGGTCCATTTCAGATACAGTATACTATAAGTGTACAAGCACTCTAGGACCACAATTTCAGGTCATAATTTCAGCCTCCACATTAAGGTTTGTTTTGGCTGTATGTAGGGTTCTGCGGGGAAACACTTGAGGCCCTATACAAGAAGTGTTTGAAATTAGGGTGGATGTTGGGTCTGGCCTTGTAGGGCATGCTCCGATTTGAGGGAAAGTCTTTTGTGCAGGGTCTCAATACCCTACACCCAAAACCGTGGGGGGTCCCTCAAACAGCCCGGAAAAGGCACCCCACTCATGAAACTCCCGCTGAACGCTTGACAATTTCGTGCCCTTACTATGACTATCTCACGGTACAGTGGCAACATCCTGACCGCTGCCAATATTGGTTTCGCAAAAAGTTTGCGGCCCTTTTGGGACCTCCTGCTAAAATAGTATAATGGGGTCTGCAATGGGGCCCACTGTTTGTGGCAAACCCCATGTCGTGCGAGCAGCTGCAAACAATTGATGATTGACTTGATGTGTTGGTTGGTGTTATCGTTTCCAGTTCTGGCGATGGGGCGCGCGCACGATCCATCGCTAGTACTGTGTTGCTCTATTGCAAGCGCCACTTGGTTTATTGCCATTCCCAATACTGCTCGCACGGCAAATAGTAGTGTCTACCGCTGGCGCTGCCAGCTGAAAAAAAAACAGTATCATTGCATTTCTATTGTTTGTCAGCAACAGAAAACACGATTTTGCACTGTCAGCAGCATTGCCAACAGAGACCTAAGCCAGAGTTTGTGTTGTCTAAAACGACGACTGTCAGTGTCTTTGGTCCTGGACTCACTAGCCTAAACATTTTCACCGTTGCAGTGACTCACAGGTGACTGTCAACTATTCCCCTAGTTTGGAGCACACACCAGAAAAATGTAGACTTTTTAGATGTAAGTTGTTATAATAAGGACCCAGGAACAAAAAAATCAAAGTGCAGTACTCCAATATTGGGATTCCCACCTGACTTCAAGACTGGTACTGTTGTTGACATTACGAATCCTGCGCGCCCTTGCCATCGTTCTATGTTGCGTTCAAATGCACACAGAACCCTGTGCTAATTCTCTCCGGAGATTCTGCTACAGCTCATGTTGTGCTCTGAACAGAAGGACACCTTCTGGCCTTGTCAAGTTTTCATTATCAGGATGGTACATGCCCCAGCCATGGAGATCCAAGTATGGCCCTTTTCAACACGCGTATGTGCACTAATACCATGAAACATTGAAACATTGTGGTTTATACTACAGATCCTGCCTGACCTTAAGCACGTACGCCCTAAACCTTGGCAATTCTGGTAGCTTCAGATCAGGACATCAGCTAGAATCTCAAGGATTTCCGCCCTGGAATCCCAAAACCCTAATCCCAAAACCCCATTCCCCAAATGTTGATGAGCAGGCGAGCTTTTAGACATGCTTCTTGGCTGGACAGAGCTTGCCTGCAAACTGCCGTGACCTTTGCCTTAAACCGTAAAAAACATTAAACCGAACGTAAACGCGGGCAAAATGTACTAATACGGCTTCCTCTCACACTGGATTGAGAGGGCAAGATGCTGGCAATTCTCAGGTTTCAGCATTGCTGATCCCCGGCCCTAAACCCCAAACCTATATAACCCCCATTATGATAGTTTCCATTTTCTTTTCCATTATCCCTATATAACCCCTATATAACCCCTAATATGCAATACTATGCTATAATACATATTGATATACTATAATATACTATAATATACTATGTTATCATATCATACTGTATATCATATTATACCTATAATAGGACCTAGAATATATCACTGCTGACGTTCCATCACAGAGCCCGAGTTGCTTGAAGGACATGCGAACGGGTGTCTGCCCGAGGAGAATGTTCCAATCCTTTTGGTCTGCAGGTTGACATTTAGGGTTTAGGGTTTAGGGGTTTAGGGTTTAGGGTTTGGGGTTTAAGGTTTAGGGTTTGGGGTTTAAGGTTTAGGGTTTGTTGTTTCGGGTTTTCGGTTTAGGGTTTGGGGCTTAGGGTTTAGGGCTTAAGGTTTTAGGGTTTAGGGATGTTTGGGGTTTAGGGTTTCCCCAAATTAGGGGTACCTTTACTCAGGGCGATATAGGGGCTATACAGGGGTTTCAGAGGGATATATACGGTTTAGGGTTTCCCAAGAATAGGGTTACCATTTTAGGGGCTCCCATAAAAAGGATTACACTTTTTTGGGGTCTATATTAGGGTCCCTCTAGTTTGGGAAAGTACCAAATAGACCAGGACTGATGAACAGCTTCTAATCAGTCATTCATGACCGCCTTAGCAGAAGAGTTTCTTGGTCTGCCAGACAACCTGAGTGCTTTAGAGGGACTAGGGATGATAGAATGTTGGACCCTGTCTAAACTTGGGCCCTTCCTCCCCCCTTAAGAATAGGGCCCCCAAAAAAATCAAAATAGGGACTCTGAATACGGCTCGCACGGTACTGAGGGCCAAGGGAGGCCTCGGGGATTACTTTTAAAGGGATTGTCTGGATTCGGTCCCGTACTTTTAGGGCCCCAAAATCAAAACACATTAAACAGGGTCTTCCCAACAATGGCCAGACCCTGAATAAACAGCGGCGAAACAGATTAAAGAGGGTCTCTTCACAAAACTTGGTGCAACGTCAGGGGATACAAAAGCACTAGATTAAGGCTATAGAAGGTAATGGGATTAGGGGTCCCTTCTGGGAGGTCCCTCCGAAGAGCCTTTAGGGTTTAGGGTTTAGGGTTTAAGGTTTAGGGTTTAGGGTTTAGGGTTTGGGGTTACATAGGGATATTTAGGGTTTAGGGTTTAGCCCTTGAGCCCTACTAAACGCCAAAACCTGTGACAAGCATCGTTGATCACCGCCTGTTTGTACTGCGTAGCTGCCGAATACATCTCCAACTCGTTCTCACCTCCCGGACCCCCAAAAGAGATCTAAAAATTAGATCCCCTAGAACCATATGGTAGATTTGAAAAGGAAAATATAGGGGTTACAAGGAGTCTATATAGGGGATCTAATTTCTAGATCCTCTCAGGAGTCTGGGCTTGCGCGCTCGCCGACCCCCCCCTGCCTCCTAACGGTTGAGGAGTTAGGGCTTATAATGCCTGGCAACAAAGTCCCCACCCCCCTAATAGTACCCTCACCCCAAATTAGTACCGCTACATATCTATCCTAGGAGGGGCCAGGGGCTTTCTTATTGTTAGGGGGAGGTGTTTGCTGCTGCTTCCCTTGAATTCATTCCGTTCTGCTGCAGCTGCATTCAATGCAGTACTCACCTTTGCCCTTTGCTGACAAAAAGCCTGGCAACGAAGTGGAGGAATCGAATAAGGCAGTTGGTAGTCCAGATCCAATCCACAACATGACATCCTCTGGCGATTCGATCTTGTCGAAGTTCATGTCACGCTCAATTTCCTTGTGGCGGGGAAGCTATGGCGGCAAGGACCACTTTTCAGCTGCCATTTGCTGTCGTATACTTTCTCTCTCAATTGGCGACCTCTCTGAAACAACATCTTAAGTCCTTGCGGCCGAGCCACTCCCGAAAGTGGATACAGCTTTCGGAACGTCGGGGTCTTCAAGGCCGACGTCAGCGAATGCACAACGTCGTTACCCTCCGGGACCCAAAGCACCATGTTGATGAAGATGACGTATAAGGCCGCAACCGACCTGATTTGAGGTTGGAATGGGGGCCACAGTGTATTTGGGGTGTCCTGACCGCCTCAAAGGGCCATCTATGTTTTCTGTTTCGGAATAGACCCCAACACCCTAAACCCTAAAACCTGAACCCTAAAGTTATCTATGGGTTTGGTGGACCCCCCACCCTGTAATAGTGGTATAGTAGGAATGTGAGAGGACCCTAATAGAGTTGCCAGTATCCCTAGTAGTCACTATTACAGGGCGGGGGGTCCACCTAACCCTAAACCCTAAACCCTAATCCCTAAACCCTGATGGATTTTTCTATGACAGGTCTCACTATTCACTTCACGAGTTTGGGCAAGGGCAACATTTAAAGCTGAACCCAACTTCCAGGTCGGAAGGGGTTTACTGAAAGTTTAGGGGTTTAGGGGTTTGGGTTTTGGGTTTAGGGTTTAGGGTACCTTTTTTGGGGGATCCCTATAGCAGGGATTATATGGGGTTACATAGGGATATATAGGAGTATATAAGGTCAGGGCGATATTGCCTACAATAGGTGAGCATGAATTGGAAAAAGAAACTTGAAAATGAAATGGAAACTGGGATTGTATAGTGGTTGATACGGACTAGGGTTTCCAAAAATTGGGGGTACATATTTGCGGGGGTTGCTATAAGTAACAAGGACTACAGCTTTTCGGGGTCCGTATTAGGGTTCTTCCCATTTAGGGAGACTCCTATGTTCAGGGGCTTACCGACTGATTGTTCCCGAGACCTGAAACACTAAACCCTAAACCCCAGCATGATTCCAGGCACGTCAGGGCTTCCCAAAATAACTTGTTTTTCCTGCGGATCCTTACCATACGGCTCTGTTACAAGGGGGTACGCAGATCCTACTTTCAAGCGCTGTTCACATCTGTATGTTAGCGATGTAGCGTATCAACCAGTGCGGTGATTGGGATAGCATGGGGCTGTGAAGAAATCCCTGATCGGATCACGTATAGGATTTGCATGCGCATTAAGCGCAGAAAGTATACTGAACTAGTAGAACCCATAACGCCAAATCCTCACACCTGCCAAGATAATATCGCCATGCAATGCGCACATACCATCTATATAACCCTTACCTTTACCCTAAACCCAACTCCCAATACACACCTACATCACCCTTATCCTTAACCCCCATATCCTCCACTGTAATCCTTGCCCTAAGCCCTACACCAAAAAGCTGCAAGAGAATATCTCGTGATAATACCTACACAACCTTTGACAATCCTTCTTCTGAACCCTCAACAACAAAGCTGCCGCTACCTTACCTTGCACAGCGATCACCCTAAAGTTAATTTCAGTTACAGATCCCCACAGTACCATTGCTCTGACCCTAATTAGCCCTGTGTGAGTGACGAAAAATTTCTAGTACTGCGCGGTCTTGCAAGACTACTTCTCCGTGCAAAACCGGCGCAGGCTGACGCCTGTTGGCTTTCTGCGTGTGTGGCATCTGTCCCAACAAGGAAACCTAGCTTCTTCCCATTAAACAAGCTCGGCCAAATGCATTGAAGAAGTAGCTGTAGCAGCCTCCAACACAAATCTGTCCACATCTTTCTCTCGGGCAATAGAAACTTGCGCGAGCTTACGCGACCCTCACGCGGCGCCTCACGCGGCGTCTTACGAGCTTCGCGGAAAAACTCTATGCGGATTGCGGTCTATTAAACCCTAAACCCTAAAGCCTTTATAGGGTTTAGGGTTTACGGGACCCTGGCCTGTGATGCGTTTAAATGGGACATGGGATTCTTATTAGGCAATATATTGGGGACTATGCTAAGCAACAAGACAGACCCCTATGTCCAGTGTTAAAGGTTCCTTGAATAAGGCTAATATTGACTGGAGCTCATATGATCCTAAACCCTAGCCCTAAACCCTGTTTAGGGTTTAAGGTTTACCCTAAACCCTAAACATGCCAAATAATCTTGCACGGCGACTCTGTATACCCCTATTGGATTCTTGTCCCATGCCCTATGGCCTGTATACCCCTGTACAACCCTTAGCCTAAACCCTAATCCCTATATACCACTCCATATTTTTCCCCAAAAACACTCCATGATTCTCACCCAACAGCCTACTTCCCAATCCCTATATACTCTATCAAGTCCATACCCCAAACAGCTGTCGCCGTATAACTACGTACTGCCCTGTAATCATCACCCCAAACCCGAACCCCATATACTTCCGTTTAATCCCTACCCTAGACCCTAAACCCTGGTTGCCCAATATAACTCTTACCCTAACCACGCATGCCCACGTAACCCTATGCAATCCTAACCCTAAACCCCCAAATCCTGACATACCCCTACAAAGCACGCTAAACCTGAACCCCTACATAACCTCATATAGACCTTACCCTACACTGAACCCTCATCCCTTCATTTCCTGAACGACCCTAAACCCTAAACCCTAAACCAAACCCTAAGCCCGGCAAGCTGCACAAACACAAAGATACTGGCTTTGCTGCCCGTGTCCTCGCGGGCGAGGCCTTACCCAAAGCGGACCGAAAAGCTGGTCGTGACTGCCCGGAACTCTACGTACTCGAAATGAACTACGTATGTGTGCGTAGAATGAGTATGTATATACATATATATATATATGTATGCATAACTTTATATATGCTCCTGCACTGTGCATTCCCAGGCCCCCCCAGCCCAACAGTCACAGGGATGGGGCCCCTCACAGTCACCATCCGCGCAACCGCGGTCGTTTTTGGCTCCTGAAAGCTGCCATCCTCGTAATTGTCATCATGTGTAGCACCTCGGGTTTAGGGTGTAGGGTTTAGGGTTTTAGGGTTTAGGGTTCGCCAGGGTTCACAAGTAAAGGGCAACGGAGCGTTTCCACGCAGTCTTCGCAGTTGTCGTCGTTTTTTCAAAACCTCATATTGCTTGTTGTCGCATTTTACGGTGCTCACAGTCGCGGGGATGCGGGATGAGGCGGGGCGGTCCTCATCTTAAACAAACCTTATAAAAACCATGAACCATCTGTAAACCTTCTTGAAACCTTCAGAACCGTTTATCAGCCCTCTATAAACACTAGAAACCTTTTTTAAAACCTCCATAAACCTATTGCAAGCAACAAGGCCCAGACCACAGGTCCCAGGACCATAGGGGGGGCCGTGGGTCGGAGGTTATCAACCCGCGACAAAGGCGGGGGGTTTGGGGGGTTCTGGATGTCTGTGGAGGGGGGTCTGGCAGGGTCTGGGGGTGTGGGGGCATGTGGGGTGGAGGTTGGGGCGTGGCGGGGGTCTGGGGGGTTTGGGAAATATAGATATACATACAGACGAATATAAGTACATACATACATACATACATACATACATGCATACATACATACATACATACATACATACATACATATATTATTATGGGTCTAGATATAGATATACATTATTCATACACACGGTTTAGGGGGGTTAGGGACTCGCGTTTAGGTCTTAGGGATTGGAGCTTTTGAAAAATTGGGGCCCCAAGGAATCGTAGGGATCATCAGGAGCACAACTGGATTATGGCAGGATTTCAGGGTTTAGGGCTTAGGGTTCAGGGATTTAGGGTGTATGGTCCAGGGGTTTAGGGTTTAGGGTTCAGGGGTTTAGGGGTTTAGGGTTCAGGGCTTAGAGCTTAGAGTTCAGGGGTAGCGTCCAGAAACTACCCTGTAAATCTGGCATGTCCTTGCTACACGAGCTTCCCATAATCCCCGAGGTTTAGGGTAGTTAGGGTCATGCACGATTCCAAGTCTCAGCAAAGTAAGCGTTCTATGAGGGGGCTTTCTCAGAGATTACAGGTTTCCTTTAAGGTCCTGTTTGGGAAGCCCTAAAATGAGCACCTGAATCTCCCGCTGCCTGCTCACATGTCAGCTAACGGTCAAGCTTTACTAGAGGTAATGGCGTCTAAGGGGGAGTGGGGGTGAATAAGTAGGTACTATCGGGGATTGTACAAGGATTGCTTTGGTCCACTCTGCCACGCCCCATTTAAGCTGAAATGAGCTATCGTCTAAACTCCTAATTAATATCTAATTAGTATCCCCCTTCATAACCCCCATAATACTCCCCTATATCACGTCATTTACGGAGTTCAGACTACATACAGCTCATATACCCCAACCCTAAACCCTAAACTACAGTCCATAAATGAAAAAAGGTGAGCCATGGGCCGTATGCGATCTGCAGATCTTTGCCACCGGTAGCTGCACGGTTGATTCCCAGCCTCAAAGCTTTTGAAGAAATGACGAGATCATGGTTAAGGGTTTAGGGTCTAGGGTGTAGGGTTTAGGGTATAGGGTTTGGGGTTTATTGAGGGTTTAGGGTTTAGGGTTTGGGGGTTTATGGAGGGTTTAGGGTTCAGGGTATTGGGTTTAGGGTTTGTTTAGACCAGTGGTATCTTCTTATTGGACACACTAGACGGTCACCAAACAGATTTTCTCACCAAAGTACCTGAGGAACCCTACATACACTCACCCAAACTTCATGATATCATCCCACCTGAAGCAGAATGAGGAATGGAGAGGAGAATGGACATTCTGTTACTATTAGGCAGTATGCAGGGGCTACTACAGAGATCAATTCCTCCGTTGCCTAGTACCGCACCAGTGAGACAGAGGGAACCTTGCCTCGTATATAGTCTCCTTAAGTAGATAGAATCTGGCCTTGGGTATCTTATAAATAAGATTCGCATATAACCCATATTCTATCTACTTAAGGGGTACTACATTCTCGCGTTTTAGGGTTTAGGGTAGGGTCTTTTCCCCCCCCAAACCTTGAGCCCCTTAAACTTGCGGGTAGCTCTGACAGCAAGATTTAGTGTTTACCCCCAAGAATCATACCATCATCCAATGCGGGGTGGATATGATGTGTAGTATGAGGAGGGTGGCTTCTTCAAGCCTAAACCCCAAAATAATGCAGTAGGCTCCTCAATAGCCCCTTAATCGAGTGAGGGGGTCATTATAAGAGGGGAGGGACGGAGGGACCCTCAACCCTAAACCCTAAACCCTATATTAACCCTAAAACACTACATTATACACCATTACGGCAACTTAACATAGGGGAGGGGACCCTCAACCCTAAACCCTAAACCCTCAACCCCCAGTACTGCTTCGGAGCGGCCTCTTCTTTGCCCAAGCAACATGGCGCTTCCAAAGCTTGGCGAGCTGGTCCTTGCCCAAACCCCCTAAAGAGCCCAAAAAAACTGGGATGATTTAGGGTTTAAGGTTTAGGTATATGACCCCCAATAATGGAAAATGAAATGGAGAAACTGAAATAAAAACTCAAAATCTCTAGTGGTGTATAAGGATTAGGGGTTTCCCTGGATTGAAGGTCTCTTCTTGGTGGGATTATATTATGCGGGTTACATGGGGGTGTATAGGCATGCAAATTCCATAATCTTTTTGGGTGTTCGTCTTGGGGTCTCCCTATGGAGCCTAGGGAAGAGTATTTCAACGCGAAATGAGTCCCTTCCTGCTTCTTCAGTTGCTGCCAAGCCGCATTGTTTGCAGAAAGGTCAGGCACACCAAGATCGTGTTCACGCTTGTCTTGCCGGCTTGCGTCATCGAACGATGTGAACACAATGGCTTTGCTCAGGTACTGTAGGATGAAGAAGAAGAGGACCCTTGGAGAAGGCGAATACAAGATGCCATAGTATGATACAGTAGAGTATAGTAGAATCGTTTCTAGTATATCATAGTGTGTTGCACTATCCGCCGACCTTGGGGGGCGTGTTATTCTCCCTTACAGCGGCGGGCCCAAGCCCCTGGAGGGCCGGGCCCCAAGCCCTGGGGGCCCGGGCCCCAAGCCCCCTGGAGACCTGGCCCACAGGCCCCTGGGGCCTGGATCCCGCCTAGCTGAGTTTTTAACTTCTTGTTGCGTTTAAAATTATGGGTCCGGGTCTCCCCTAGGCTTGGGGGGCGTTGGATGTTCCCGTCTTCGCTCCAGCATTTCAGCCGCTGGGCCGGGCCCCAAGCCCCTGGGGACCTGGCCAACAAGCCCCTGAGCCCTGCATCCCGGCAGCCTAGCCGCGTCAAGAATTCCAAAAATGCCCCGGTGCTCATCGGCTCATGAAAAGCCTGGCTTGTTGCACCGATTGATTTCCTGCGCACAGTCCCTGCAGCCTAGTTTGACCTTCTT